AGTCAACAATTATTTATTGTATATTTCAAAATAACTACAAGAGTAAAGTAGGAATATTTTTAACAAAAATAACTGATAAATTAATACCCTAATTACCCTGATTTGATAATTACACATTGCATGACTGTATCCAAATATTACATGTACCACAGTAATATACACACTTATTATGTACCCATTATAATTAGAAATAAAAAATTTAAAAAAACTTGTTGAGCGTGGATCTCATGTTTAGTGTTCTTACAAAATAAAAATAGAAAACAATAAATACATAAAATCATAGCAGCTAATTTTTTTCAAATATCTAGCTCACTGCAAAGTAAATAACTTTCAACTTAATTTCTAAGAAATGTTTTTTAGGTCTTAATAATATATTAAACAAAAGGAAAAATCATAGTGCAGAAAATAGTTATTTTAACACATTTAGCAATGCCATATACATAAGATAATTTGTGTTTTAATTTAGTTTATTTTTTGCATATATGTGTTCCATCAAAATTGATTTTTTTCTTTGTTTCCATAATATATATATATATTTTTGTGGGAGGTGGCAAGCATTGGTTTTGTTACTGAGTATAGAGTGTCTTCTATATTGTTAGATTATTTTCACAGTTACTGACAACAGGAATGAAATAAATGATCAAAATAGCAATCTCTAATTGAGCATGAATATGTTATGTATCTATTGGCTTATCTCTACAGTTAGCAAAATAGTCTTTGGATATTTATTTCATTTTGGGAACCAAATCAACATGAAAATATGAGAGAAAAATTTGAAAAATAGCCTGCTATTTTTATTTTAAAGGATTCATGCTCTTTACTATTGACCATGATTAGACTTTCGTAGTTTGCATTTTTTACCATGTTCAACTGTAAATCATTTTTATTTCAACTTCCTTTTTGTTAGTTAAAATAATCTCGATCTTTAACAGTTAAAAACAGAAAACCATGCATTATTCATAACAGATTCAAAGAATTTCCCAGTGTCATGCCCCCCTCCCATATTTCTCCATCCAGGAGATTTAGTGATTTATGTTTGAATTTCACTGGTGTGGAAAGAAACTAAGAGTCAATCATCCCAGTAGAAGTTTAAAGTAACTCCTTCCATTGGCCAGAGGAACTTAGGAAGGTGGGAATTTCTCCCAGGATAAATTCCCCTGCTCCTTCACCCCCAGTGGATTTCCAGCCCTCTGGAATGCCCTCCCACATGGGGGGGGTGCTGATCCCTTTCCCCTCTGGAATAGCCTTCCACACTCTTCACGGAAGTCTTTCTCTTCTCCTTTTCTTCTCTTTTCTCTACCTAAATAAAATCACCTTTCTGCAACACTTCTTGGGTCTGATATTTACTTGTACGAGCATACGGTGCACCTGCAGTGGTCCCATCACTTATTCTTTAAGAGACTGGAGGCCAAGAACCCACAGCATTCTCTTGGGGGAGCTGTGCCTCACCAGCACTCAAAAAAAAAGCCCAGTTACAATAGTGTGGCAAAAGTAATTGTAATTATTGTATATAAGGTGGTCAGAGAAGATGTTTAAACAAAGACTCAAAGTAATTAATGAGTACATAGTGATAAGACAGTATTTTTTTTTTTTTCGAAATGAAGTCTTGTTCTTTTGCCAGGCCAGAGTGGTGTGATCTTGGCACACTGCAACCTCCACCTCCAGGTGATTCTCCTGCCTCAGCCTCCCAAGTAGCTGGACTACAGGCACGTGCCACCACACCTGGCTAATTTTTGTGTTTTTAGTAGAGATGAGGTTTCACTATGTTGGCCAGGATGGTCTCAATCTCTTGACCTCGTGATTCACCAGCTTTGGTCTCCCAAATTACTGGGATTACAAGCATGAGCTACCACCCCCAACCAAGACAGTAAATTAAGTGAAGATCTATCTAACCAAAAGAGAACATAGCAAGCACAAAAGCCTGTTCCTTTTTCAAACAACATTACAAAAACTCCGTAATAATATGTAATATTAATATTAAACAGTATGCACCTATAAGGTTTTTCTTTTTTTCCTATATTTTGCCAAAAAATTAACGTTCTTGATCCATTTATGTGCAACTCTGTTTCTTACGCATCTTTGATTGCACACTCTTAAAACTCCCATTTTATCTATGGCTTATCCTTTGTAGAGTGTTCATTTATGCATTATTCCCCTTACGGTATCTAGGGTATATTGTCAGATCACTGACTGTTAGCTGTATTCCCCAAGTCAGAAACTCTTACTCAATTGAAACAAAAATATTTTAGGTTTGTATTTGATTCTGGGGGAGAACATTTAATTTTAAGATATTAACACAGATAATAGAAGGCTATTCATATAATCTAAGGGAATTTTATTTTATTTTGGAAGGATCTTCAAAAAGTTTTGTATTTTATTAACATTATTACCATATTAATTTCCTTATGAGCCATGTGCAAGCCCCTTTGTGATGTGCAGGGAAATGCAAATACCAAGTCAAAGGAGACATTCTTACATCGTATATTATTATATTTCAGTGTTTAGCCTCAAATTTTCTAGGAGAATTTTTTTTTCCCAAATGGATTCACCATCTGATGGCATGAACTTATAAAATATCAAATAGAGCAAAATTCCTAGTGATCTAACGTCTCACAGATCTTTCTTTCACAAATATGCAAATTTTACTGATTACCAGGTTTACATCCTTCTGTTAGCTTGTAAATGAGTCCAGAGGGAAATATCTCAAAGCAATATCTTTTAGAGTTTCTCATTATTCTTTTATCAGGCATAAGAAGCTAAATTAATTAGATATGTGTTAATGTGTATTATATTTAATGCATCATTCACTTATTTACATGTGCAGACATCCAGAAAATGTTTGCAGACTGTTGCTTTTGTCACACGATTCTACCTAAGTAGACTGACTTAGAGACAGATCATTCAATGGCCTTCAGAATTTTTCACACTACTACTTCATATTTTTAACGCATTAGGTGAGGTGTACCAAACTTTGTGCCAGATACTGGCATATAAATATAAAATAAATTAGTTCACTCTCTTTGGAAACCACAGCATATCTATGAAGACAATATGAGAGCTAAACAATGAATATATAATAATGAAAAGTATAATGATTATGCCTCTCAGTCTGCATTCAACCCAGTGTGCTTTATTTACTGAAACTGAACTTGGAAATTCTAAATAAAAGGTAATTTCTTTGCCAAACTTAAATCTACAGCTCTCCCAGTGGCCAGATGAGTCTTAATCTCTCTCCATGCTCCAAATTTTCTACACACCAGAGAATATGAAATCAAATTTATAATCTAACTAGTTGAAAATTGTATAATAAACCCCCTTTATAATTTCTAATTAACACTGATCTGTATGTATATGTATATGTATAAATATATGAAGAAGTCGGGAAGCACTAAATAAATGTTAAAGTGTTGGCAGTCTGAATTCTATTGAGGTGGCCGATTTTGACTCTTCTTTCTGAAAACAATTTTAGAAAATAAAGAATATCTTCTTGTCTTCACATTTTGATAGAAGATATTACTTTTATGAAAGAATGGAATCAAATGTAATATTTATATCAGGGGATTTAAGTTTTTTTTTTTATTATTATTAGTAAATGTGTTGCCTGTCTTAGAGAAAGAAGTTGAGACTGTCAGAACAAAAGAGATTTATCCTCTGAGTATTAGTTGTAACACACAGATTCATTGTACAATAAATAGGAAAACTAAAGGTGTGAGTTAGCGATATTTTTTGACCACTACCAGAAAGTGCTCACTTAATTAACTGGCTTATTGTGGTGGTGAAAAAGGGCTGAGTATACCCTAACTTATGGCAACTGAAAGGATAATTTTAAGTATTACATCATCCTTATTAAGCTAAAAATATTTTACAAGTGAGGATGGAGGGAAAGATAATCTTAAAGTAATAAGGGGCAGCTGATACTCATAATTATTTCTTGAGTTGTGTATTCTCTGTGAGTTTCCTTACTGTTTGTAGCTTCTGCTATTACTGATCTTGTCCCTGAGGATTATATGGTAGCTTTCACACTACAACAGTAGGGTTGTGTAGTTGTAGCAGAGACCATATGTACTGCCCACAAAGCAGAAATATTTGCCATCTGGCTTCTTACAGAAAAAGTTTGCTGACTCTGGTACTAAGTGTGTCATGGAAAGCCTTGCAAATGAGATAATCACTGAATTTGTCTTGAAAGGAAGACACTACATTTACAGGTTCGTAGACATGCAAGGCAGGTGAGCCCCAAAACTGTAGCTTAGCTTCGGAGAGTTCTTGGCTTCATTCAGGAAGAAATTCAAGGGCAAGACTGTCCTTTAAAAAATAAGTGACGTAACTATCTTAAAGGACTCTAGGTAAAAAGGATGGACATTTTTTTTTTTCTTGAGACAGAATGATTCTTATAATCAATGAAAATAGTATGTGTGTTCTTATTCACAGTTTTCCACTCTTTGAAATTCTTGTCTCTTATTTATGCCTTGAAGAACTTCTAGTTCTCAATGCCCACATTAAAAACATGAAAGCTTTTGAAGTTCCTTTGTCCTTTGGCTCACAGGTTGTCTAATTTGTCATCACAGATGTTTGTGTAACATCTCTTGGCCCAAGGCATGCATACTACTTCAAGAAGGTGGGACAATGGGGACTTGTCCTGCCACACACTGGTCACTTAGAGGCAGAAAATCATGTTGAAACAACTTTTTTAAGGTGCAGCTAAAGAAACATATTAATGAGAGCAATATTCTGCATAGTTAGGGCATTGCCTTTCTAGATGAAATACATATTTTAAAGCAATGGTCATTATATAGCTGTGACCTCAATAGCTAAAATGCAAGGTTTACTGGTCCTGCTTCTTTAGAATGAACGATTTTGTACAAACCACCAACTTGGACCAATTAGGAATAATAATAATAGTATTCAATGGTGTATGCTGCAGAGGCATATAATAAGGACTTAACAAATTTAAGGCTACCATAGGCTTCAACAGCAGTAATGTTTTAGACTTTTCCAATCACCTTCCTGTCACCATCACTTTTATTTTGTCAGTTGTTTTCCATTGATCTAGACCTTCTTTTATTTTTATCTGCTAGTGACAGTTCCTATTCCTAAAAACTTGGTTTCCCTTGAGTGTTCTTTAAATTTTTCAAATCAATACAGTTTTTGATTCATTCCTCTTTGTCTACAACACTATCTTATAATACAAAAGCATTCATTCCTAAATTATTGGACTACAGAGCCCCTGAGAAGCTGTAGGGTGCTCCACAAATTGGTGTTATTTTCACTTTTAGTTTTTATCAGAGCATAACCATAAACACAGAATTGGTATCTTTTCCCTGGTTAAAAGAAATCAAAATATGTAGGAATGCTCTGCTAGTAAAGAGCATATTTACCACTCAGATTTTGGTTTCTAATATTAGTGTTCATCAAAGGAGCCAGGACTCCTCGAAGAAAGTCTGGTTGTAGAAATGAGGCAAAAAATATGAAAGATAATCCTGGAACATCCTGTATTGCTAGAAGTAAGACAGTACTCAGCACGTACACACCCACATTCACCCACACCCACACCCACAAACACACATTGACAGTATACCAAAGTGCCACAGGAGCCAGCCCACTGAAAGAGTTCCCATTGGCCAATGCTAGAATAATTTGAGCAATAAAATTAATAAAGTAGTATTCCATAATGTCCCATAGTGTAAAATAAAATATATATGTGTGATTCCATACTCATCTAAATAAATAGTTGAATAAAGTAACAAACAGGAGAGAGTAGATAAATCAGCCATGCAATAGAATTCTAAATAATCTATGTAAGGTAGTCTCTCTTATCTATGGAGGATACATTCTAAGACTCCCAGTAGATGCCTGAAACCACAGATACTATAAAATCAATTTTTTGTCCATTGGAACACTTTTCTGTTCATCTCTTCTGCCCACAAATTACTGTGTTTTCTACCTTAACTAAGTACTTGTCATACACTGCCACTGTGACTTTTGCAGTTTGAGGTGCAACAGCAAAACTAGCACAGATTTTCTTTTTCTTCTTCACTATTTTACAGATAGAAATTTTTTCTTATCTTAGATCTTAGTAATCTCAGTATAGGATACTTTTTCTTTCCTTATTAAGTCAAAAACTATCAACTTTTACCTTTTTACTCTGAGGAAGTACTTTATAGTTTCTCTATGGCATATCTGAATTGCCATCATCACTATTCTTGTACTTGTGACCATTGTTAAATAAAATAATGGTTAATAGAACACATGCTTTACAATACCATGACAGTCAGTCTGATAACCCGGGGGCCATTAAGCAACTACTGAGCAGGTAGCATTACAGTATAGACACGCTGGACTAAGGGATGATTCATGTCTTAGATGAGATAGAGTGGGGTGGTGAAAATTTTCATCACTGTTACTCAAAACAGGACACAATTTAAACTGTGTTTAAGTTGTTTATTTCTGGAATTTTCCATGTAATGTTTTGAATCTTAGGTGACTACAGGTAACTGAAACCATGAACTAAAACCATGGATAAGGGGACTACTACCTTCAGGAAGGGGCACATTACCCCCCACCATTTAAGTGTGGAATGCATATAGTGACTTCCGTCCATAAAGGATGGAAGAAAATGAAGAGAAAACTTAGGGAAATTTGACAAACATTACCTGAGCCAGGTGTCAACATTAACAATTATAAATCATGTTGATGATATGTATCCTTCATATACTGGATGAAAATCACATATTACCTCTCTGATATTCCTTTCAAAAATACGTAACCTCAGTCTAGCCATAAGAAAAACATCAGACAAATTTCAAGGGAGGCTTATCCTGTAAAATACCTAACCAATACTTCTCAAAAGTATTCTAGTTATCAAAAGCCAGGAAAGTCTTAGAAACTGTCTCACCCAAGGAGAGCCTAAGAGACATGACAACAAAATGAAATGTTGTGTCCAAATGGGATCCTGCAACAACAAAAGGATTAGGTAAAATTTAAGATAATTTGAATATATTATGTAAAAATACTGGTTTATTAATCATAACAAATATATCTGACTAATACAAGGCATTAATAATAAGGGAAATTGAGTACATGATAAATGGGCACTCTGTGCTATCTTCTAAATTCTTTATGCTAAAACTATTCCTAAAAATAAAGCCTATTGTAAAAATCTATATACATACAGAGCATAATCATTTATTATTCTATACTTACTTTCAATATTATATACCCTTTTGCACAATTTCTTAAATTATTAAATAATATAAATAATATTTAACAATCTGCTAAGTTAGACAATTCTTGAAAATAGAATCAGTATGGGATTTTAGCATATTACTGCAATCGATTCTAACAACAGTTTATCAGAGAACAATTTCATCCTGAAACTTCACATACACAATTTACTAAAGATTAAATGCAGTTAAAACAATGAGAAAAATGCACAGAAAAAAACCTACTTTTTACTATTAATTATAAAAATGAAGAAGCTGGATTTGAAAGGTCTCCAGCTAAAGACTTCTATTTCACTCCAATTTGCTGAAAGTGAATTGCATAAGTATGAATTATTAAATATTTCATGGAAGTCATGAGTGTGTAACATTATTTTTCAGATTAACTGAAAATGTTTTCTAATCTCATAAGACGTCTCTTCTGGCAGTACATTCCTCTTTTACTTTCTGCTGATGAACAGAGATGACTCATGTTTGTTAAAATCTGCTTTATACATTTTGTCTCATTGCTAAAGTTGTTTTGTGCCTATGTTTTAAAGGTAGTATTGTGTCTACATATCCATGTTAGGTAGTCTGTATTTTATGCAAGTCCTAATTTATGCAGAGCTAATGAAACAGTAAAGAAAGAAGAGCTCGTTTAATGTGAGAGCTTAACATATGACGTCAGCTCCAAAAGATTTTGCATGTATTACCTTAAAAATGTATCAGCTTTGGAATATATATGCACATACATATACACACTTGTGCACACACACACACACACACACACATGCAGTATATAGGCATACTTCTTGCTGATCTCAATGGAATATAAAAATAAATGATTGAAACACAATGAATAAGTAGCCTAAGATTATTTTGAATACACATGTATCTCTTACAATAATAAGGTAAAGATAAAGATAAAGTAGACTTAAAAATATTTTTTATTATCCATAAGTTTAAAAATCAGGATGTTCTCATATAGTTCTTAATAGTTGTTTTATCATTCCTATCCAAACTATTTGCATATATTCTATTTTTTAGTGTAGAGACACACATTTTCTAATATCTCCTCAAAAACAATGGAGCACTATGTGACAAAATGCTTTGTACAATTATGATTGAGTTTTTAAAAGCATCAATAATTCTGTTTTTATGAATAAGATATTACTTTGCCAATGTTAAATGAACAGCAATGCAAAGTTATACTTTTCTTAAAACTAAGACAAAAGTGAAGATGTATAGAATTGCTAGTAATCTCATTTCAAGTACAAAGGATTTTGGCATACACAAAATTATAATTAAAATTTTATCCTCAATAATATATTAAAAATTAAGGAAAACCACCAATTTGACAGCATCAATTCAATTTTTTGTTTTCTAATAGAAAATCAAAAACCTGTCTTACAATCTATGAATATTCTAATCATTTATCCAATCATAGAAATTAATGAATTTATCTCTTTAATATCATGTGAGGCAATTATTTTCTATTACATATTATACACAACAACAATTCTAAAGTTATTTTAAAAGTGCTTCTTTCAGCTTCTTTATAATTTTACCAAATATTTGATAATTTAACTCTACATCCTCATTTAAAAAATTCTCTTAGAATTCTTGGCAGACTATTAATTATTTTATTGCAAGAATGGTTATCCATTCATTTAGTACTATGCCTGCACATGGTGCATATTTATCAAATAAATGTTGCATTAATTAATCAGTGAAGAGCTGATTTATAAGCTGGCATACACTTAATGAAGTTATAAATGGAAAATGTTATTCACATTTCTTAATTTTTCAAGATTTCCTTTATCTTCTAAATTGGGTCAAAACTGAAGATTTCCTCTATGGTTTTCCATTTTTCTATGGTATTATTAATAAAAATTTTTATTTAATCCATCTTATGATTTTCTTTTTGTTAATAAATTATTTTTTTACAAACTATATATGATGATATCTACTATATAGAAAATAAGATGTGCTGCAGATAGAGGGTGAAGCACTGGGTAGCAACTGCTGCAATAGAGTAATGTGAAGGAGATTGGAAATTCTGGAATTCTAGTAACCTATGATAGAGGTATTCGGTAAACTAGATGTATGAACCTTGAATTTCCATGAGACGTGGAAACCACATTCATTTTTTTGGTAAGGGTAAATGACATCTTCTCGTGGAAGACAAGGCATTTTTCTGTTTTGTTTTGTCTTGTTTTTCTAGTTAGAATTCTCCCTAATTTCTGGAACCTATAGCACCTACATTTATAAATCTGTGTTACACAGATAGAAAACATTTACTCTTTTCTCCTAAATCCTACAATTCTAAGAACTTTCAAATTTTGTGTAAGTAAAGAGAAAGTAAAAAAAAAAAATTAACTAAAGTAAAACTCGATTAAAGTCATGACTCCAGATTTTGATGATAGAGTTCCCATTATATAACCCTTTTTATTTTATAAAGCTGTTCATTTATAATGTCATAATAATATTTTGTTTTACACTTGTTTGAAGGGTTTATGGCTTTTAAAATGTATGGTAGACTTATAGGTCTTGTATTCTGAACTGTCATTAAGTAAATCTTAGATCCCACATGTTTGGAAAAAATATTTTCAGAATATTTGGGTCCTATATATTTACACAAAATGCTTCCTATATCATTGACACCTTATCTTTCATTTAATACACAGATAAAGTATCATAATTCCTGAACTGCCCCCATCTCCATTTGCCTTTAGTTTCTTTCTTTGTAAATCTCCTACCCCTGTATGTTCCCAGGTACATAACATATGCTCAATATAGGTTTTATAATGGATGAATCATTCTCCTTTTATTTACTTAAAATATTATTCATGTCCCATCATTTTCTCCTAAAAGAGCGGCATGAAACTCACATAGATATAATTATTTAGCCACCAGTAATTAGTGGGCAAGCAGAATCTGACTGCATGTCAGGAATACAGTTCCTAAGTCATATTTAAACAATGCCTGTAAAATTTAGTGTGGGAAATGCTCCCGTGAGAGGCCCCCCTAATGTGTGGGCCTCACCAGACAGTGAGCTTGAGTCCAAACACAGTTTCCTGCTGGAGGCAGTCGAGCTATGGGAAAGAAGGAACTAAGAAATGACTGATGTTGCAAAGGTTTCTACTTCTGACTGCAACCACGCTTGGGCAAGGGTTGCATGGTTTTGTCAGATATTATGTCTCCACTAGGTCTCTGTATGACTTTTATGACTTTGTTTTTCAAGAAGTTTAAACTTATCCGCATGACTGCCTTGAACCCTAGATAATGACTTTATGGCTTAGCTTGTGACTCTTAGGTATCGTTATTTACAAAAGTGTGTTTTGGTACAAACAGATAAAGCATACCACCTGCCCACTTTTATGATCCTTGAATGTCATGCTTCCCCATAAGATTGTTTTTGTGATCTTATATTTTGTAACTTTCCATTCTTCTTATTGTTGATTATGTAAGCACCTTTGATATTAAGGTATATATTGAGACCCTGGACAAAAATAAATTCACTGTTTAGGCATTGACTTCTCAGTCCTCCAGATCCCAGCCGTTCTGTCTCTCTTTATTTCCTCACACCCCCTCTTTCAGGTCGGGACCCTCTTGCATGCCAAGACTCCCTGGCGGATCTTCCTTCACCCACAATTTAGAATAATCTCTATGCATCCTTGGTCTTGGGGTGTTTTACAAAATGTATGTAAAACAAAAAAGTGGGTTTTACTAAATTATTATCTCAAATATTACTTTCATAGGTGTTTGAGGCATTAATACAAATTGTGCAAAAAAACTGAGAAAAAAATTTTGTTAATGACTATTCTTGGGATACACTGGATTAAATTAATACAGACAGGGTTATTTGCTGTAATGATCTAGCACATGGAAATATACCAGGCTACATGGAGATCTGACATGAATCAGCTTTAGCCATTACTAACTGCTATGACAAAGTACCAGAGACTGGGTGACTTACAAACAACAGAAATTTGTTTCTCATGGTTCTGGAGGTTGTGAAGTCCAAGATCAAGGTGCTGACATATTTGGTGTCTGAGGAAGACCTACTTCCTCATAGACAACAATCTCACTGTAACTTCACATGGCAGAACTGGCTATGGGTATCTCTCAAGTCTCTCTTATAAAGGCACTAATAACCTTAAAAGGTACCCCTATTTGCCCACTTTCAAGAGCCCCTACTTCCTAGTACCACCACACTGGGGTTAAACTTTCAACATAAAATTTTTTTGGCAGGGGACACAAATATTCAGTCAATAGAATTGCTTTATACTTATTAATTATCTTATTGCTCACAATAACCTTTGAGGAAGGTATGTTATTATCTCTGTTTTAGAGCAGAGACTATAAGACACCATGAGGGTATAAGTTGTCAAAGGTCATCATGTTAATAAAAGGCAGAACCTGTATCCAAACCCAGTAAGTCTCTCTTCAGAGCTTTATCCTAACCTATACCATTCTATTTCTACTAAAATGGGAAATTATTTTGTGTTCAAAATCTCATTTGGAATTCATATTGATTACAATTAGTATCACTGATAAAAAATCAAGATAGAGTTGTTTATGAATATTCATAAATTTGTTGCTATTCCTTCAAATTTATCAAATGTCAACTTAGTTGCATTCTTAAATATAAATGTATAACAGTTATAGATAGATGTTTTGAGTTAAAATGTGCTTTTGGTTATTAAAAATTAAAAGAAAACAAATGCACTTATGGGAATTTGATGAAACTTAATTACCATACTTGGTTATGAATAAATCTCTATACTAAAAGCTTTTGGGTGTTGCTTAGCTTATGTATTCTATTCTGTGTAGGCCAATATTATAAGTCAAAATATAATAATAATGAGCAGTTGAGTGCTTCCTTATGTCAAGTTTTCACTAAATATTTTATATGAAATAATGCTTTTTAGCTTTCAAAGCAACTGAGAAAGTAGACAAAAAGACTGTTCTCTTTAACCTATGAGGATATTAGGATGGAAAGAAGCTAGGAAGCTGTGTTAAAATGAAGAAAGCAAAATTTTGCAAAACATCATATTTAGACTAAACAGCTAACATGTAACAGAACTGATACTTGTCTATATATACATATATACTATTCTACATAAGTTGAGAGTGATACATTATTCTCTTAAACACACATATAACATTTTTTCCTCATTTATAGCCAAATATGCCAAGTTAATTGTTTTCCTTTTAATTTTTTTCTCCTTGAATAAAAAAGTTTTAAGTATGATGATTTCTTGCAATTTACTTTCTTTCAATGTCATTTTTTTTTTTTTTTTTTTTGGAGACAGGATCTCACTTTGCCACCCAGGATGGCATGCAGTGTCTTGATCTTGCCTCACTGCAACCTCCTCCTGGGTTCAAGCGATTCTCCTGTGTCAGCCTCCCAAGTAACTGGTATTACCGGCGTCTGCCACCACTGTCTGCTAATTTTTGTATTTTTAGTAGAGATGGGGTTTCACCATGTTAGTCAGGCTGGTCTCAAATGCCTGAACCCACGTGATCTGCTCGCCTCAGCCTCCCAACATGCTGGGGTTAAAGGTGTGTGCCACCATGCCTGGCTCAATGTCATTATATATATATAT